AGCCATTGTGAATGCTCGTCCACTGGTTACTGTGTCTACGGATCCAGACTCCCCCCTCATCTTGACACCAGGGACACTCCTGACCTAAAAGGTTGCTGCCGTTCCCCCTCCACAAGGGGAATTAAATGAGAAAGACCTCTTCAGCCGTCAATGGAAGCAAGTACAGAGCCTTGCCGACACCTTCTGGCACCGTTGGAAGAAAGAATATCTTCCTTCCCTGCAGAGTTGTCGGAAGTGGCAAAATGAGCAGCCCAATCTTCAGCCAGAAGACATTGTGGTGCTGAAAGACAGCCAAGCAAAAATAAATGACTGGCCCATGGGGATCGTCACAAAGACCTTTCCCGGCAGAGATGGCAAAGTGAGAAAGGTCGAAGTCAAAACAGCAAGAGAGGGGTCATGCAAGACCTTCCTGCGTCCAGTCTCAGAGACTATCCTACTCCTCTCTACTGAGACTGATAAGTAACATTGAAGTTCTAACCTGCATAGTCATAGAAGAATTGTTTACATTCCAAAATGGTGAAAGTCACACTGTGGAGCTACAGACGTTATCAAACTCCGTCCTTCTTGCTATCATTTAGTAGAAGCATTGTCTGCAAATAAAATTAATCATAACATATTTGGCATTCAATTCATGATGATATTTTGTACAGATGATCGTTTTAATGAGATTTATGAATCTTCTTGATAGCCACATCTGTTCAGTGCATTTGATCTTGTCATGTTTTGGGGAATTATTTACATCCGATTTAATGCATAATGCTGCATATTTCTGTGTTTATGTACATGTATACAAATACATGCTGTGTTTTTATTGAGAATTAAGCCTAGTATTCAGCTAGCATACAATAAGTCATACTCATTGTTCTTTTCTTTGGATATTTCAGTTTTACTAATTTCAGTCACTATTACTGTACCTACGAAGTGGTGGCAATACATCATCCTTTAACACTACAGTAGCTGTACCGGGTTTATCTGTCTGCTAAGCTTAAGAAGGGGACTCTTTTGCGAGGGCAGAATACTCATCATGAGGGTCCGCAGTGGCTCGTGGGTCTGCGTACCCACATCCATCCCCCCCCCACCCCCACCTTGCGAGCAAAACATTTTGGCAACCCCCCTCGTGACAGCGAAGAGAAATTGTTTTAGTTTTAAAGTGCATTTCCTGCAATTATATATATTTTGCCATAGGGTGGAGGCAAATGTTTGCAGTTTTAAATTTTAATATGATAACTGATGATCAATGGGCCCCACCCCGGTTGGTCATTCGACCATGCTTACTACAAGTTTAGATAGCTGGCCGCTAGACTAACTTACCAATCGAAAATAACCTGGAGGAACTCCGCTGCGAGGGAGAAGACAGCCAATCCACCCCCACGTGATCTGCCGCCCTACGACACAGCTCCATCAAAGGCGCATTAACCACCAATTGTTCACACTCCCCCGCCGAATCCAAAGCCGGGTGTCATCCGATTCACACTCTAAAAACCCTCCAGAGCCAACCAGGGATAGTATATCATCCCCGGAATCTGGACTCTGAACACTGCCAGAGAAACCGGAATGAGCCTCACTCAGGTGGGATGACACACATGTCAACTCCAACCACCGCTGCTGCTGCTCTCTCCCGGCCTCAGACAACCCCATTCCCAAGGTCGGTTCAACGGAATATCCTTCGCCAGCAGCCCCAATCTTTCTCACAAAGTCAGCCCGACGCCCAATGGAAGTTGAGCCCAGGCGGAGACAATGGTCACATGAACTGGTCCGAGCCAAAACCTCCTGAGCGGGTTTCCACCCCAGGCAAACAGGACAGCACTCGTGAGTATCTTTCATTTTAATTGTGAAACCACATGCCCTAGGGCATGGACGGAGGTTAAAACTCGCTGGGTTAGCCTTTTTTTACCCCCTTTTTCTCCCCAATTTCGATCTTGTCTCATCGCTGCAACTCCCCAACAGGCTCGGGAGAGGTGAAGGTCGAGTCATGCGTCCTCTGAAACATGACCCGCCAAACCGCGCTTCTTAACACCCGCCCGCTTAACCCGGAAGCCAGCTGCACCAATATGTTGGAGGAAACCGTTCAACTGACGACCGAAGTTAGCCTGCAGGCGCCCAGCCCACCACAAGGAGTCGCTAGAGCGTGATGAGCCTCCCCTAACCCGGACGACGCTGGGCCAATTGTGCGCCACCCTATGGGACTCCCGGTCACGGCCGGTTGTGACACAGCCTGGGATCGAATCCGGGTCTGTAGTGACACCTCCGCAGTTCAGTGTCTTAGACCGCTGCGCCACTCGGGAGGCCCGGGTTAGCCTTTTTGAACTTACTCTTACCACTGGCCATCTTACTCAAGCAAGGAAGCACTGGCTACACAAGCAGAGCAGAACATAGTGGGTTTTAGCAAACACAAAAACGGATACCAAGACACAAAACTCACAACATCTAGTACTCTCTTCCCCACCAACAGACACCTAAGTCGGAGCTGAATCTTGTAGACTTCATGTGCTTAAAAAGTTTGTAAATTGAGTGGAATGTTCTTCCTTCAGGCGAGCTGAAGAGCGAAGAATTGAGGAAATGAATGCGAGACCCGGTATTAAAGCCAGGAACACGTAGCTTCCGAGGGCAGGCTCGGCATCGATTGGCCTGTTGGGTGTGATGTCAGTTTTCTTCAGGTGAATATGATTGGTCATTGACTCCCCATAGTATGTTATACGGAGTGACCGACTAAAAGGGAACTAATGAGGAACATGAATCATCATTCATTGCATAATGTGGTCCTCTGTAGCTCAACTGGTAGAGCACTGCGCTTGTAACGCCAAGGTAGTGGGTTCGATCCCCGGGACCACCCATACACAAAAAAAAAAAAAAATTATGCACGCATGACTGTAAGTCGCTTTGGATAAAATCGTCTGCTAAATGGCATATTATTATTATAATCTATAGGTTTCATAGATATGTATAAGAGAAAATGACACACTTCCTCCCCTCCCTCACCCACGCATGTACACACACACACACACTTGTTCTCATCCCACACCTGTCCCCTAGCCATACGCACCAGTAAGCCCCATATCATCCCAAACCACTTCCAGCACATTTTCTCATTACACCAGACCTCCTGTTCTGTCCTCTCCTCAGTGGCAGGGAGGGAGAAACACTAGACAACCCTCCAGTCAGAGGCTATATCCCCATGAGGTCAACCTGCCCCCCAAAACCAGCAGAGAATGTAACACACAGGCACGCACACGCTCACACGCACACACAGACAGACACAGACATACACACACAGACAGAGACACACACACAAACACACACACTTCCTCCCCAAACAGAGAGTGTGACTCACTGAGCCCCCCTGCTGTAGTCCATCACTGTCTGACAGCATGGCATGCAAATCTAGCATTACACTATCTATCCTCCGGTGGCATAGATCCCACCATGTTCACGAGTCATGACGCACTTAGGGCCTACAGGGTCTTCTGTCTGTTACTGGGGGGGTTGGGGGGAGTTGAGGGGGGCAGGCATCCAGGAGGTAGAGGAGGAGGTGGGGGGTGAAGGTGGGAGGAGAGGGCAGCCAGGAGGGGGGTGGGAGGAGGGTAGAGGCATCAAAGCCATTAGGGTCACATCACCTCTCATTCTATACCTCTGCTCAGCCCTGAGATTAAGGGAAGAGGTTGGTTGGTTAGGGTGGAAACACCACAGCCATCTCCGATGGCAGGGTCCCGTGTGTGTGTGTGTGTGTCAGGTTTTGACCAGGGTCCCAGGTGTACTCCAGGAGGATGATTGAATGCCAGGTCCTAACTACCAACTCTGGGTCTTCGTGACAGAGAAGGAACTCCGTTGGGGATTGAAATATTCATGGATTTGTGTTATTTTATTCCTGTTGGTTGGAAGGTGCGATGAGGGATGTATACGCATAACTGCATCTGATAATAGAACAAATAAACATGCAAAAAATGTTATACTCTCACCCAGGTTGCTTATCTCACACACACACACACACACACACACACACACACACACACACACACACACACACACACACAATAATAACCCACATATTCCACTTCACAATCCAAACCAACCACTAAAAATACAATGATGTTTATTTTTAGAAAAGGAACGAGGCGGATTGAGAGGGGGACGGCTTTTGTACGAGTATATCTTCCATTAATAGACTGTAAATGTAACTCTGGAGATAATAGCGTCATCAGTCAGTAACACAACAACAGTGCTAAAGGAAGGGAGTCTAACACACACACACACACACACACACACACACTCACACACACACACACACACACACACACACACACACATACTCACACACATGCCCCTCCTAACCTCCTACTGTTCTTTGGACCCCTTTTTAATTTAATCCGCTTGTCCTCAAGCATTCAATTAGTCACAGAATCTATGATCAATGCAGGCACTAAAAGCAAAGCCCTATAAAGTTAAATGGAGATTAATTATTCATGTTCTGGGTGTACTGTAATGTTCTGTACTGTAATGCGCCAAATAACAAAACAAGTAAATGAAGAAAGAAAAATATGTTTTCTTTCATGATGATTGTGGTTAATGCTAAGATAAGACGAAGGCTGTTGTAAAAGGCTGTACATATCCACCTCTCTTTAGGTTCTGCTGGGATGACTAAAAAGAGGACAATGTTCCTCAAAGGTCTGTGTGTGTGTATGTGAGCGAGTGTTTGTATGTGTGTGAGTGTGTGTAAGTGCATGGGTATTGTATGTGTGTCTAGGTGTGTGTGTACTGTACGGAAAAGTCTATATGGACACTCCTGACCTGCAAACCGATATTTAATTTCAGAATTTGCTAAAATTAGGTTAGGGTTAGGGTTAGGGTTAGGGTCAGGGTTAAGGGTTTGGTTAAGGTAAGGGTCCGTTTTAGATGATGGTTAGTCGTTTTGCAGGTCAGCAGTGTCCTTATAGTCTCTACCATACTATACTCTATGTGTATGTTTCTACCCCTCTGTACCCCCATATCTAGGGCACTCACTTGAGCACTTCATTGGAGTTGCCTTGTTTGGAGCCCTTCTTGTTAGGGGTCTCGTTGCAGCCTGACTTGAGCAGCGTGTGTTGCCCCCGGTCCAGCATCATGGTGGAAGTCGCCATGGCGATGACAGCCACTGCATCCCTCACCCGAGCCTCCAAACCGTAGTCCCATTCATCATACGACACCGAAATTAGCCCTGAGAGAGAGAGAGAGAGAGAGAGAGAGGGAGAAGGAGATGGGAGGGTAGGGGGAGATAGGGAAGGATGGGGGGTGAAAAGGTGGGAGGTGGAGAGAGAGGTTGAGAGAGACATCTCATATAACAGAGGTGCACATTAATTAAAAATCCAACACCCTTTACAGTTGAGCTCACCCAGAGTAGGATTAAGTTTCCCAGAAACGCTGATCTAAGGTCAGTTTTGCATTTTCCGTTTGATAAGGTTTAAAAGTTGGGAAGAGTAAACTGCTCCTAGATCAGTACATGCCTTAACCTTCTACCCTTCTCCTGACCCCCATCCTAACACCTTCCAGTAACTACCTGTGGGGAACACGGCGGGGACATTATCGGCGTCGCCGGCCACCAGCGACGGTACGATCCAGGTGTATCCGTATCCCGTCAGTCCCACAGAGTTTGCCACCTCGAAGATGGTGTAGGCCTCCTCCTTGGTGCAGTAGAGCAGGTAGACAGGGCTCTGCAGCTTCTTCATCTGGTTCTGGATCTTAGCATCTCCATCATCCACAGACATGTCTAACAGGAGGACTTCTTCTAGCTCCCAGCCCACAAAACTGTTCTCTATGGTGCTCCGGATCTATGGTGGGGGAGAGAGAAGGGGGGGGGGGGGGGGGGGGGGGAGAAGGAAGAAGAGAGAGAGGAGGAGGATGAAGAAGAGGAGAGAGGGAGGAGGAGAAGGAGAAGGAGAAGGAGAAGGAGAAGGAAGAGGAAGAGGAAGAGGAGGAAAGAGAAGTGTTGACGTTCTGTTCCAATATTTACACAAGAAACACCACTTGAAAAGTAAACAGTTTGTTTGTTTGTCTGTCTGGCAGTCTGTCTGGTTCCTCTCTTGGGTTGTAGCTGTGCAGGTGTAAGACTAGTAGTGTGCCAGTTCAGCTCTAGGGTTGTACATGAGCTTTAGGTCCTGGCTGTTTTCTAAAGACTGCTTTCAAGACAAAAGGAAAGGACAACAGGTTTGGTGTGGGGCATCTCTCATGGGGGTTTCATAGGAACAACAGGTTTGGTGTGGGGCATCTCTCATGGGGGTTTCATAGGAACAACAGGTTTGGTGTGGGGCATCTCTCATGGGGGTTTCATAGGAACAACAGGTTCGGTGTGGGGCATCTCTCATGGGGGTTTCATAGGAACAACAGGTTTGGTGTGGGGCATCTCTCATGGGGGTTTCATATGAACAACAGGTTTGGTGTGGGGCATCTCTCATGGGGGTTTCATAGGAACAACAGGTTTGGTGTGGGGCATCTCTCATGGGGGTTTCATAGGAACAACAGGTTTGGTGTGGGGCATCTCTCATGGGGGTTTCATAGGACAATGATGAATGAGATATAGAAACAGGAAAAAATGGAGGCTCATATTTAAAATACTTTGCTTGGAGTGCCAGATGTGTGGGCTTTACACTTTTGAGACTTTTCTTTTAGTTCATTACAACAGGTGAGCTCAATCAAGCACAGCCAAAGTACACTACATGACCAAAAGTATGTGGACATCCACTCATCGAACATCTCATTCCACTAGATGTTGGAACATTGCTGCGGGGACTTGCTTCCATTCAGCCACAATAGCATTAATGAGGTAGGGCACTGATGTTGGGTGATTAGGCCTGGCTCGCAGTCAGCGTTCCAATTCATCCTAAATGTGTTCGATGGGGTCAGGGCTCAGTGCAGGCCAGTCAAGTTCTTCCACACCGATCTCGACAAATCATTTCTGTATGGATCTCGCTTTGTGCACGGGGGCATTGTCATTCTGAAACAGGAAAGGGCCTTCCCCAAACTGTTGTCACAAAGTTGGAAGCACAGTATCTTCTAGAATTTCATTGCATGCTGTAGCGTTAAGATTTCTCTTCACTGGAACTAAGGGGCCTAGCCCGAACCATGGAAAACAGCCCCAGACCATTATTCCTCCTCCACCAAACTTCACAGTTGGCACTGTGCATTCGGGCAGGTAGCGTTCTCCTGGCATCCGCCAAACCAGATTCATCCGTCAAACTGTCAGATGGTGAAGCGTGATTCATCACTTCAAAGAACGCGTTTCCACTGCTCCAGAGTCCAAGGGCGGTGAGTTTTACACCACTCCAGCCGACGCTGGCATTGCGCATGTTTATCTTAGGCTTGTGTTAAGCTGCTCGGCCATGGAAACCCATTTCATGAAGCTCCCGATGAACAGTTCTTGTGCTGACGTTGCTTCCAGAGGCAGTTTGGAACTCGGTAGTGAGTGTTGCAACCGAGGACAGACGATTTTACGCGCTACGCGCTTCAGCTCTCGGCGGTCCCGTTTTGTGAGCTTGTGTGGCCTACCACCTCGCAGCTGAGCCGTTGTTGCTCCTAGTCATTTCCACTTCACAATAACAGCTCTAGCAGGGCAGAAATTTGACGAACTGACATGTTGGAAAGGTGGCATCCTATGACGGTGCCACGTTGAAAGTCACTGAGCTCTTCAGTAAGAACATTCTACTGCCAATGTTTATCTAAGGAGATTACATGGCTGTGTGCTCGATTTTATACCTGTCAGCAACAGTTGTGGCTGAAATAGCCGAATCCACTAATTTGAAGGGGTGTCCACATACTTTTGTATATATAGTGTATTTGAAATTTTTTCCAATAGTATTTGAACCCAGGTCTGGTGTAGTCCCCTAGCCTCACTTTGTTGACAAAGTCCTGGTATCCGGGGTAGTAGGTGGTGACGATGGAGAAGATGTACCAGTCGTATTCCTCCATGATCTTCAGCATGATGGACGCCTGCTGCTCTATGGACGGGCCAAACTGGAAGAACATGGAGTGGTCGTCCTGGAAACAGGGGGAAGAGAGAAGAAGGGGAGGTCAGGTCAACGGTCAAATTAAAATAATATGTAAAGGAGGATAGTACACATATATGCGCGGCCACACACACACACACACACACACACACACACAACATCTGGAGACGGGAGGGAGGTCCAGGGGGCTAGGGCGATGTTGTTCAGTCACCCATGACGGTGACTGTGTGACTCATGAGGACATGAAGGTTGAGATTTGTGAGTGTGCGTATGTGTGTGTCCCAACAAGGAAAGTAAAACAAGGAAAATTCTGACAAGTGGGGACATTTCAACAGTCCACACAAGGAAAAAGGCTATTTTAGGCTTAGGGGTTAGGTTTAGGGTTAGGGTTAGGGTTACAATTAGGATTAGGGTTAGTGGTTAGGGTTTAGGGTTAGGTTTAAGGAAAATAGGATTTTGAATGGGAATCAATTGTTTGGTCCCCACAAGGATAGTAAAACGAACATGCCCATGTGTGTGTGTGTGTGTGTGTGTGTGTGTGTGTGTGTGTGTGTGTGTGTGTGTGTGTGTCTGCTCATATGTACAGTGGGATCCGAAATGATTCACACGCTTGATAAAGATGAGCAAAAAGGAATGTATAAAATAAACAATTCAAATACTGAGCTATATTGTATGCTAAACAAATGGAAAATTACTTTATTTTATACTAGTACAATTGCTCAGAGAAATTGATTTAGTTTAACAAGGAATATTTTCTATCTCAACTTTTGCAATAGTCATGTCAGTTTCCGGACTTGAAACCAATTGAAAACCTGTGGTTTGATTTGAAGAGGACAATCCCATGAGGTTATCAATGATCTGGAAGGATTCTGTATGGATACCTCTCAATGTGTTCACCAACTCATAAAACATTTTAGAAAAAGGCTCAGTTCTGTTATCCTCGCAAGGTGAGGTATTTGAAGGTATTGAAAACAGGGGTGTCAATAATTTTGAACCCTACCTTTTTGAGACAAAAAAAGTATTACTTGTTGAACAGAATCTCTTTCTCTGAGCAATTATATAAGTATTACATAATATTTGTTTGAGCATACAATATAGCTCAGTATTAGAAATTTTATTTTACACAGTAATTTTTGCTAATCTTAATGAGTGTAATGTGTAATGTTGGACCCCACCGTATGTGTACACAGTGAGTGAGTGAACGAGACCGTTCGTTAGTTCTTGAATGAATATGTGTCACGTCCATACTATATGTGCATGTTCCCATGTGCAAGCAAGCATGGCCTGCCTTTGTGACAGCTCTGTATGTGACTGTGTGTGTATGGGCGTATCCATGGGTCGTGGCCCCATGTTACTCATGCAGCAGGCTGTGCTGAGCTCTCACTCCACTCCACATCAAAGGCCACTTCCCCCCTGATACATCTCCCCCCACGGGGACAGATATGGCTTGATCCGTTACCTAGCTTCTGCTTTGATGAGGTAATCACATTCCATGTCAATCGGGGGACGGAAGAGTGGAAGTTGAATAGGGGAGGTTGGGGGATTAATCCTGACACGTTGACAGTCAGTATACACTTCACTTGAAATAACCGTGTTAAAATAACATGCTTGCGCACGAACGCATCATAGACGTACCCTTAACCTCTAACGTTTGTATTGAAATCCATTGTTGTTTTGATTTTGTTCCATATATTCTGAGGGCCATATGAATTTCAATGGTGAGTGTTATTGTATGTACGCTTTGTTTGTCCCTTCCCATCATTTCCTGTCTATCAACCACAACTCCACGGCAGTCATTGACTCCCCTTCATCCTCCACATGTCTCCATCTATCCTGAGCCCTATCTCTCCTCTTCACACCTTTATACACATCTCTCTATCTTTTCTCTCTATCCTACATTATTAATCACTGTACGGATACAGATATAATTTCATTTGAAGACTTTTCCTCTCTCATTCTCTTTCTCTCTTTATGTCATTCATTTGGATCAGCAGGCACCTATTCCAGTATTCATAGAATAACAGCTAATCAGTCTAATGTTCTCTTTAATGTCCTCATCAATTCACACATTTTTTCTCCTAATAGAATTACTGTCTGTCTGTGGGTTGTTTTTATTCTTTATTTACACAAAGTCCTAAAGCTCAATTAGCTCATATCTGAGAGGTGCCAACCAGCATCCTGCAGAGCCAGCAGAGCCAGACTGTCTCGTTTCTGATCAGAGACCAGGTTGCCTGTCCTCTCCACTCACATCAGTGTTCACTAGCCCAGCTAACTGTGATGTGATGCCCAACACTTGCTTGGGCCCTGGTTAAAAGTGGTACACAAAACAGGAAATAGGGTGCCATTTTGGATGGAACCTATGAGTGATGTGAGAGATGCAACTCAATGGGAATGAATAAAAGAGAGCAGCGAAAGGACACATTTTTTTTTATAAAAAAAAAACAACAACTATCATTGTAACTCTCTGAAGAGTATTGCTAGAATTTTGACATGCTTTTGTCTGCCTGGTGCTATTTAAGTTTGATTGTTCAGTGCGAAATCACGTGAGTCGACACTTCCATATTATGTGTTGTAGTGGCTCCACTTCTGCTGCTACACAGCTGCATATTGCATACATTAGCTAAAGGAGGCTAGTAAAGTACAGTAGCTTTAATGACTCACTATCACTATCGTCATTATCCCGTTGTGCATAAAGATGACAGCAACCAGCCACAGTCGTTATACAACACTGTAACCTATTGCATCTCCCTGAGGATTTGTAATGTACTGTACAGGGATGACGCCTAATATGTGAGTACCCGGTCTTTAACATAGTGACTCTAACACCTCACATCAACCACTCTGCAATGCATGTATAAATATATGCAGAATCTAATATACAAAGAATTTTAAAAATGTGCCCGAGGTGCTTCCATTGCTTCCTTCTTTACAGTATGTCACCCGTTTCAATAAGATGCGTTGGGATGGGAGCAGTGTTGAGGGCGGCTATTATTTAAACCTATTAAGACTTTGAAGTTTTGTGAGCTTGATTTATATCAGATTGTCACGGTGGCTTCGCCTGGCGTTGTCGGCGGAGCTAGCTGCTTCCTCTGCTGCGTCAATGTGTACTGTATGTGTACTGTGGTATGTGTGTGTGTGTGTGTGTGTGCACATGTGTGTATGAGTTTGTGTGTGTGAACAGTCTAAAGCGGGTCTGAAAGGATTTGGCAACTCATCTCCATGTCATGCCAATGAAAGCCTGTCTCATTTAGATTTTCAGGAAGAGAGCGACATATCAGCCCTCCGCTTAACAAGCCCTGGTGGGAGAGGATTGAGAGAGAGAGAGAGAGAGAGAGAGAGAAAGAAAGAGAGAGAGAGAGAGAGAAAGAGAGAGAGAGGGTAGGAGGCGGCAGTTGGGGCTGAGCGAGAGATAGTGAGGAGTCTCATTTGAGAAAACAGGAAAAAACTAAGAACTCAGAGAGAGAGAGAGAGAGAGAGAGAGAGAGAGAGAGAGAGAGAGAGAGAGAGAGAGAGAGAGAGAGAGAGAGAGAGAGAGAGAGAGAGAGTAAGAACCAGAGCAAGACCCACACATTCACACATTGAAGTAGCAGCTGTGTTAAAGTAGGGACACATCCTTTCCTTCCTCTCCTTCAAACACTCTGTTTTTTCCACTTCATCACTCCCCTCTTTCAATCCACCTTTCATCCTCTTCCCTCCGACTATCTTTCCTCTATCTGTCTTTCATCTCTCTTTCCTCCATCTATATATCTTTCCTCTCTCTATCCATATTTTCTCCCCAGCACGTTCATCCTGCTGTCAATCTCGCTCTGCGGTTTAAGCTCATCATGCTTCATCATCATATTTCTTCGCTAATCAAATACAAACAGAGTTAATTAATCTCACATTCCTTGTTTAATTAGGAATGACCCTATTTTGACGTCTTTCCTGCTGCGTCGCTTTTTTTAAGACACTTCATTTGAAGATCCCACAGTGTCTTGATTGAATTACTCTGCTATTTTTGGTCCAGGAAATTATTACACAGACACTCTCGTCTCATTTGCTGGCCAGCCAATAGATTGAGGACATGGACATTCTCTGGAAAATTGGGATGGCAATCATGGGAACTAGATACAGAGTGCGGTAGGACATTGCAACATTTTGTGAGCAGCACAATATGAAATCAAAAAGAACCTCAGCATCTCAAATCTCTGGCTCCAATCTCCGCTGTCATTAACAAACTAGCAAAAAGTTTTCGCTCCTGTTGTGTGGCAATTACCCACTCTTACAGTAAGAAGCTGTTAATGTTATGCGTAAATCACAAGGAAATCAATGTTTTGATAAATGGTGCAGGTTTTGTTCTTTATCCAACAATCTAGTACATCTGGTGGCTGCCAGGTACCAGTCTAACAGAACCTGTTCTGTGGTTCGTTTCAATGAATCCCAAAGAAACCAAGTATGTACAGTAGTGTTTTGCACATTTTACAGTTCATTACAAATGACATTATACAGTTCTTTTTCCAGTATAATGTCCATTTTAACGGACTGTAAAATACACTCTGACCTTTATTAGCAGCACGCTGAGGCCTGTCCTCACCATAGCCAGCAGGCTCTACCTCTGACCCCTGTGTGGGGAATATCATGTTGGTCACGGCACCAAACCCCCATGGTCACAACCCACCCACCCACCCACACACACACACACACGACCAGCCTCCACACACACAGAGGAGGTTCAACTCAGGCCATACAACATGACTGCTCATGCACTGGTTCTACAGCTTGGAAGCATATTCACCATGCACGCATACTATATGGGCATATGGTACCATACATGTACATGCATAAATACATACATGTAGACATTCACATACTGCACCGTACGAACACACCCACGCAAGCAAACACACACAGCAGAGGCTTCTTGCTAATAACAAGACACTAATAATATAGGTCCTATTTGACATAGCAGTGAATGACTCAGTGAATCAGCCTATAAGCATTTTGATTAAAACAGAAAATGACAGAAACTCATCAAGTCAAAGTTGATTTGAA